AAACTGAGAAAAAGGAGGAAATTTGAGGACTGCTTGATTGATGAAGAAACCAAGGCTAAACTAATTGCATAACCAAAATCATCCGCTGGGCCCTGAGCTAACACAACTTGTTCGTGCAGACCAGCATCAACAAACCCGAGAGCCACATATTTTGCCACCCAGACTTCTGGTTAATGCCCAGCAAAGAGGCCTTGATTCCTGAAGGCTGCAGGCTGATAACTCCAATAAGACCAAGAAATCTTGTATAAGTACCACTCACCAACTGATTGTACTGCCGGAGCACCGAGAAACCATATAGATAATGAAATTCAACCGGCAAACAGTAAACTGCCTCAGTGATATTTGAAAATTCATTTAGTGTTATTATACAACCCTGAATAACCAAAGATCATCTGGTTAAGGGTAATCACTACAGAGGGAACATATGGTGTTTTTAAGATTATGTCACAAGCTGTAATTCTTTTAACTCTGTTTGTAAAATTAGGTCATATCCCTGATTTTACATATCTTATTCTTTTCTTCTCCATGGGAACAAGACATCTTTAAGTGTCCTCGGGTCTGGAATGATTTTGGGGTAAGCTACATAGAAAGATTAGAAGAAGAAAGAGGAGGAGGAGAGAGGAGAAAGGGGGTAGGAGGAAGATGGGGGGTAGGAGGAAATGGAAGGAGAAAGTAATGGGGGAGGAAGAAGAGGAGGAGGAGGAGGAAGAGGAAAAGAGAGAGAGAATTAAAAGAATAACAGCAACAACAACACTCAAAGAAGAGCACTAAAGGATGATAGAACCTCCCTGCAATACTAAAACACTGGCCTTAGGGTAAGTGGAGTGATTTTTTTCAGTCTTCCCATCCTAATGCTGAGACATCAGGTGGGTGAGGAATTCAACTGTGGAGTAGTTTCTAAGAAACTAGGGTAATGTATTATTTTTCAGGGGTCTGTGAGAAAAGTAACTTGCAATCTAGATACTCTATTATTCATTAGAGACGAAGATGATATGGATGGATTTTGAATTTGATTTTCGGGGTCTTTTGGATAAAGTGGCAAGAGAATCCCCCAGACAATCACTCCTATGTTCCTCAAGGATTTTCCCATATGGATTCTAAATCAGCGTTTATCTTAGCAAGCAGTCTCCAAAATCTTGGATATTAAGAAATGTTCTATAAGATAACGTTTCGGACAATGTTTCAGTGGATAAATAAAAGGAATGCTTCAGAAGACAGTTCAGGTAGTATGGAGCCAGCGAAATTTGGCTGTCCAGTGTTTTTTCTCCCTTTGACTCATTTCTTTCCATTTTCTGGTTTCAAATAAAATTCTTCCCTCTCTTCACTTAACTAAAGAATACTGAGGTTGCTTGATGCATGTGGATAGCACCTTTTCATTATTTTCTTTGTACCTTATATTTTATTTTTTGCTTTTTCTTTTCTGTTTAATCTCTTAAAATTTTTGTTAATCTTGACATTTTTTAGCATTTTAATAGTTGTTTGTTTTTCTTTTGTGATGGTTTTTTGTAGAAGCATCATGAGAAATGGCTAGAAATTGAAAGGCTTATCCCTATCAGAGCATTCATACTGGGAAAACATGGAGTAATAAGTAAGTAAGATTACTCCATGTTTTCCCAGTATGAATGCTGTGTTAAAACAGTATTTACAAGCAAGACAGGACAGTGGCCCACCCAGGAGTGACACAACGCCAGGCGACCCTCCCCACCTAGGGAAGCGGTGAGTGAATATGCAACCCCGGAAACCACACTTCTCCCACAGATCTTTGCAACGCTTGTGTCAGGAGGTCTTCCTGTGAACCCGCTCCAACTGAGCCTCCAGTCTTCAGTCTGACAGACAGGGCTAGGTGGAGTTTCGGCAGAGCCCAGGCATGCATGGAGACCCTGGAGCCTTAGATACTTGGGCTTTCCAGGGAAAGTAGCTGCAGTTCCGGAAAAGTGGGAGGTTAGATGCCCCAACACATATTTCTAGGAAAGAGCCTGACTCTCGGAAGCTTAGCAGCAATAGCCCGCAGATCCCACTTCCACAGCATTTCACAAGATAAGACCCACTGGCTTGGAATTCCAGCCACCTACCAATACCAATAGCTGCACTGCAGTCCTATAAAAAGAAGCTCAGCAGGGGGTGCCATCTATGCTGTTCTGTTCGGGTGCCTTAGCCAATCCAGCCTTCAGGCTTTGGAGAGTCTGAGCTAATCCAGGGTGGAAGAGATGTCCCAGCACAGCACAGCTGCTCTACCAAAACGTGGCCAGGCTGCTGATTTAAGTAGGTGCCCAATACTGTTCCTCCTCACTGAGTGGGACCTTCCAACTGGGGCCTCCAGTCACCCTGGCTCGAACTCTGCAGCTGACAGAGATCTAAATTCCCGACATGGTGAGCCCAGAGGGAGCAGGCAGTGCAGCCATCTTTGCTGTTTGGGTGACAGCCATTCCAGCGTTTGGGTTTTGTAGTGTCTGAGGTGACCAGAGGCTGAATTTTTTTTTTATCTTCTCTATTGATTTCCTATTTTAAATTTCATCTTCAATGCTATTATTTTCTTCTGCTTATTTTGGATTAATTTGCTCTCCTTTTTCTAGTTTCCCAAGGTGGAGGCTTAGACGATTGATTTTAGAACTTTCTTCTTTTCCAATATATGCATTCAACGCTGTACATTTCCGCCTAAGCACTGCTTTTACTGCATCCTACAAATTTTGATGAGTTGCATTTTTATTCTCATTTAGTTCAAAAATACTTTAAATTTTTTTCTTGAAATTTCTTTGACCTGTGTGTTACTTAGAAGTGTGTTCTTCACATATTTTGAGATTTTCCAGCTATCTTTGTGTTACTGATATGTAGTTTTAATTTCACTGGGGTCTGAAAGCAACTGTTGTATGATTTGTATTCTTTTAAGTTTCTTAAGGTTTGTTTCCTGCCCCAGAATATGGTCAGCCTTGATGAGTGTTCCATGTGAGCCTGAGAAGAATGTCTATTTTGCTATTATGAAGCAGTCTATAGAAGTCAACTCTATACAGTTGATATACAAATGAAGCAGTCTATAGATGTCAACTATATGCAGTTGGTAGCTGGTGTTCAGCTGTATGTCCTTAATGATTATCTGCCTGCTGGATCTGGTCATATCTGATAGAGTGATATTAAGGTCTTCAACTATAATAATAGATTCACCTATTTCTCTTGGCATTTCTATTTAGATTTTTCCTCATGTATTTTGATGTGTGTTGTTAGATGCATACACATGAAGGATTGTTATCTTGAAGAATTATCCCTTTGTCATTACATAATGTCCCTCATTATCTGTGATGAGTTCCTTAATTTGAAGTCTGCTGTATCTAAAATTAACACATAGTTACTCCTTTCTTTTGGTTAGTATTTACATGATAAATCTTTCTCCATCTCTTTACTTTTAATCCGCAGATTTCTTTAATGTTTAAACTGGGTTTCTTATAGATAACATATAGTTAGATCGTTTTTAAAAATCTACTCTGATAATCTTTACCTTTTAATTTGTGCATTTAGACCATTGATATTGGGGAGTTTTTTGTAATGGAGATTTTGTTGGTTGTGTTGAGGATCCGTATACAGGCATTTCAATTTGTACACAATTCTTAGCATATATACTGCAAATCTAAAAAGCTGTGCATCGGGTAATTCTTTTTTAAACAGTTATTCCAGTGACCTTACAGTTTAAAATTTAGAGGCAAATAGTCCTTATGAAAATATCAAGTACCAGTATCTTCGATGTTGATAAGCTGTTACATAAGTCCCAACAATTCACAATTTAGTATGATATACATCACATACTCAAATTTTCAATCTGTCTCATTAGCAACGTTTTTACAAAAACAGGACTACCATAACCAAAGATGATACAGAGGGCACACAATTCTGACAGGAAGAGTCATGATCAAGGAGTGATTTTCTTTAGGAAACAATCTATTAAGAAACAACAGGGGAACGGAAGTAATTTAAAATGTCCAGGACACTAAATCAGGGCTGTGACTTCACACTGCCACTTGGCATGCTTTGTATTATAATGGTGTTTGACATTAATTTGGAGAAATTCAGTCATTATTGCTTCAAATATTTCTTCAGTTCCATTCTCTCTTCATTCCCCTTCTGGTATTTCCATTGCATGTATGTTACACCTTTTGTACTTGGCCAAAAGTAATTGGACATTCTTTTGTTTTTTTGTATCTTTTTCTTTTTGCTTTTCAGTTTGGACATTTTAATGGAGATATCCTTAAGCTCAGAGATTCTTTCCGCAACCACTTAGAGTCTACCAAAGAGCCCATCAAAGACAGTCTTCATATCTGTTACAGTGTTTTTAATGTCCACTATTTCGTTTTCATTCTTTTGTAGAATTTCCATTTCTGTGTTTACATTGTCCATCTGTTCTTGTATATTGTCTAATTTATCCATCACTTCCCTTAGTAGAATAGTCATAGTTGTTTTCAATTCAGTCTAATTCCGGCATCCTTCCCACATCTGAGTCTGTATCTGATGCTTGCTCTCTCTCTTCACACTGTGTTTTTGCTTTTATCACGTTTCCTTGATAGCCAGACAGGATGTGCTGTGTAAGAGGAACTGCTGTAAACAGGTCTTTAGTAAGGTGGTAGTAAGATGTGAGGAGGGGGTAGTGTTCTACAGTCCTAAGATTAGGTCTCAATCATTTAGTGAGCCTGTGCCTCTGGACTGTGAAACTTCACAAATGATCCTCAGTGACCCCACACTGCTCCATTCTCAGGTGGGGCAGGATGGGTAGTTGGGTTGATACTGTATATTTTCCTTTTCCCATGTGAAAGACTGGAAGGGGCCAGAATTGACTATTTCCTTTCCCCATGTCAGTTAAACTTTGCAAAAACAAAACAGTAGTTTAGGCTCTCATAAAATAGGTTATCCTGAGGGCAGACCTTGTTAAGAAGAACAGAATCCCCTAGCATTTTTTTAAATGGTTACTTCCTCCTTCCCAGGCTGGAAGCCTGAGAAGATTTTTCACCATTATTCACTGTGAAGACCTGGTTGAGCTCCTGGAGGTAAAACTCACACAAATGCAAGAGATCTTGCTCTAATCCTCAGTCCCTAGACTTTTTAACTCTCAGACTTGTCCACACTGAGCCTCCAACAATTTTTCAATTATAATTGAGGTTTTCCTACCCCAACACTAGTTCCCACAGAGTTTACTGCTCTAGGGTTTCTCAGTATTTACCTGGAAAGAACATTCTGTCTCTCCAGTTTTGAGAGCAGTGATTTTCCCTATGACCTCACTTCTCTGATGGATCTAAGAAGAATTAAGGGTCCTTGATATTTTCAGTTGGTTCAGCTTTTTACCTGCTGTTAGGATGGAGTGATGACTTCTGGCTCCTTAGATGACAGAATGGAAACAAAAGACTTGAATATGTTCTTTCTTCCAGCTTGGATGGTAAACTCACCTGGTGATGTTTTCAAGATGGCTGCCTAAGGGGACAGTTTGAGGCCAGGAAAGAGAGAAACTAAGAGACCCATATAAGCACCAAACTCATGACCCTTGACTTATCATGGTCTTGCCAAATGAGTTTTCAGGTAACAGCAAAAACAAAATCTTTTTATATAGTGCCTTTAATTGTGGTTTATCATTAGCGATTCAATTTTTATGAGATCATTTGTTTCATCATCAAATTTAGTCAAAGCACTTGCCGTGGCCTTTCTCTCTGGTTCAGCTGTACTGAATTCCATTTTGTTTTTCCTAAAGAAAAAAAAAAATCTCAATCATGACTAGAAAAGGGGAGAGATGGCAAAATCAACCACTGAAACTTTCTAATATCTGGGCAAACTTCAAATAACTTTTCAGATTATAAAATACATGTATATTGCTAGCTTGATTAAGGGTGTGTGTACTTAAAAGTCCAAGTGCTGGAAGCTGTAGATGTCTAACTATGCTTTACAAAAACTGGGCTGGTGACATATTCTCTAGACATCACCCGTGACACTAGATTGCCTCTCCACAAATGGTCATTTGCAAAGATTGGACTTCCCTAGAATTAACCAAAATGTGCCTGGCATTTCTATGTGTCTTATTTATTTTTTAAATTGAGATAAAATTCAAATAGCATAAGATTTACCATTTTAGACATTTTAAAGTGTACAATTCAGTGGTTTTCAGTACATTCAGAAGATTATGCAAACATCACTGCTCTCTTCTACATTTTTCATCACCATATAAGAAAGTCCCAGGCTCCTTAAGCAGTCACTCCTCATTGTCCCTTTATTCTAGCTTCTGGAAACCCCTAATATGCTTTCCATCTCTATGGATTTGCCTATTCTGGACATTTCACATAACCAGAATCATACAACATATGGCCTTTCATGTCTTGTTTCTTTCACTTATCAGAATGTTTTGAGAGGGCATTCATGTTGTAGCAGGTATTGGTATTATTCCTTTTTATGACTGTGTGATATTCCCCTGTGTAGATATACCACATTTTATTCATCCATTCATTAATTTATGAACATTTGGGTTGCTTAGACCTTTTGGATATTGTGCATTGTGCTGCTGTGAACATTCATGCTCAAGGTTTTGTTTGAACATCTGCTTTCAATTATTTCATACATATGCATAGCAGTGGAATTTCTGGGTCATATGGTAATTCCACGTTTAACTTTTTGAGGAACCTCCAAACTATCTTCCATAGTGGTTTCACTATTTTACCTTCCCATCAGCAATGTTTGAAACTTCCAGTTTCTCCACATCCTTTTTAATACTTGTTAATTTTCATTTTCTTGATTATAGACATTCTAGTGGCTGTGAAGTACCAAGTTGTTGTGATTTTTATTTGTGTTTTCTTAACGATCAACATAATGAGCACTATTTTCATGTGCTTACTGGCTATTTGTATATCTTCTTTTGGGAAATGTTTATTCAAGTCCTTTGCCTATTTTTTAACCAGGTTTTCAGTCTTTTTCTCATTGAGCTATAAGAATTTTTCATATATTCTGGATACTAGATCCTTAGCAGATATGATTTTCTCCCATTTTGTGAGTTGTCTTTTCACTTTCTTGATAGTGTCCTTTGATACTTTGATATGAACAGGAGGCAAGAGGGTGGGGTCCCTGGTGAGGGCTTCACCCTCAAGCCTAAACATGTAGCCCTAAATGAGAACACGCATTCCTGTTTTCATGCCCAAATGTTGTCTTTTGGCCCACCATGCTCCCCTATCCTAAACCCATGTAAATCCCAAACCCCAGGCTCTATGAGCAGAAGAGCAGCAGAGCAGCATGGCAGAGAAGGAGGGAAGAGAGGATGTGTCTGAATATTAAGAGGATTTTAGCTGGGGACAGTCACAGAGCAGATTGGCCCCAGGACAGCTGAACTCCAGAGGAAGATCATCTTCCCATTCCATCCCCTCTCCAGCTCCCCATCCTGCTGAAAGCCACCTCCATAACTCAATATCCCTGCATTCACCATCCTGATTCTTCTTGGATGCTGGACAAGAATTCAGGACCCACTGGGTATGGGAACCCAAAAAGGCTGGCACACTGACTCTTCACTGAGCTGTTGAACACTTAAGCCATCCCTGGACGTGAGGGCTAAAGGAGGATTGTAACACCCCTAGCACTGCTGTGGGGCCAGAACCCAAAAGCACTCACCCCAGTTCACCTGCATGCTCCCTCTCCCATAGAGTTTTGGGCATGGTGACCAAATAAATGAGCCATACCCCTGTCGTACGTCCTGTGATGGGGTCAGAGAACTTTTCCATTTCACTTTGATGTGTTCCTATGTGAAATTTGAAGTAGAGTCTTTAGTCTCTTTTTCGCTCCATCTTTTATAAATATGCCTTTGCCCTCTCCCACTTCCTTTCATTCATTTCAGATTCTTTGATCTCCTTTATATTATTCTCCCCAAGGGCCAGAAGAAAATGCTTTAGAATCATTCTTGCACACGGGGGTATATTCACAACATGTAAATGACTGATAAGGCCTAATGACTTATTCTCCCATTCAAGGTATCAGTATCTCAGTAGTTTCCAAGGAACAAAAGGAATTTATGAAATCCCAAGTGTGGATGAGCATAGTTGGCTGGAAGCATGGATGTCTTGCTGTTGCTTCTGTAATTGCATTGAGTTAACACTTCCAATTCGACTTAAAATAAATATTTTGATTCTGGGTCTAAGATTTTAAAAGCCAATGATGCACTCTGTGAAACCTCCTACTTAGCCTCTGGAGTCCTCGTGGGCAGTCACTGTGCCAAGCAAATTAGTAATTAATACTCCATGTGTTGGCTGGGCGTGGTGGCTCACACCTATAATCCCAGCACTTTGGGAGGCCAAGGCAGGTGGATCACAAGGTCAAGAGATCGAGACCATCCTGGTCAATAAGGTGAAACCCTGTCTCTACTGAAAATACAAAAATTAGCTGGGCATGGTGGTGTGCGCCTGTAGTCCCAGCTACTCGGGAGGCTGAGGCAGGAGAATTGCTTGAACCCAGAATGCAGAGGTTGTAGTGAGCTGAGATCGTGCCATTGCACTCCAGTCTGGGTAACAACAGTGAAACTCCATGTCAAAAAAAAAAAACTCCATGTGTTATGTTTTTAAACACTCTGTGGTTCTAGTGCTTTTGGAAAATGGATTCTGTCCCTGAGACTTACCTGTAGGACTCTTAAGAAAACCTCCAAGCTGTCATCTGTACATTAGTAAGATATGCTTTCAGAGCACCATAAACTCCACTGAACATTATTGCTTTTTGCCCCCAATATTTCTGAATCAGATTGTTCTGGGGTTGAAAGGAATCCACTGCCTCTGAGCCTTCTGTGTTCGCACAAACATTCTTTTGGATCTTCCCTGTCACTCTCTAAATAGGATTCTTCATTTTAGCATTGCTGATGCTGCTGACAGCTCTAACAATTATGCTTGAAGACAAAGACCTTAATTAACCTAATCAGCCGTGGGGCTGACAGGTAGGCTGTGCTGTCACTGTGGTTCATGATGTACAACCTGTTGTGAATAGAGCACTTTTTCAGCTGCTCTGGTAGGGCCACCTGCCGTCTGTGCTGCATTTCCTGCCAGGCAGCTCTGTGACCTTCGGCAGCCAAAGCCAAGTCATTAGAGAAGTGGTCACAGTTGTGCCAAGAGCTCAGTCTCTGTGGTTTTTGTTTGGATACAGAGAATAAGGAGGCTCCAGAAAAGAACCCATAGAAATGTTGTTTTTATACAAAGATACCAAAAAAAGGATTCTGCCTGCATGAAGGTAGTGAAAACAGGTCCAATCTTTCCTTTCCCAGGCCCAAGCAAGTAGGATTTGGCCAATAGGTTTCTAAAGGTAAATAAGTATCCTTTAGCTGATCACCCAGTAGTAATGAGACAGGATACAGAAATATCTAGTAAGACAAATATGAAAGTTGAAACCCAGACCAGCTTAGCAATGAATATTTGGAAATATAAAATTTTTAAATTACCAGCATTAGCATCAAAAATATGAAATGCATAAGGGTAAATCTGATAAAATATGTACAAGATATGTGCAATAAAACTATAAAACATGGATGAGAAAAATAAATTTTGAAATAAATGGAGATATATATCTTATTCATGAAGCAGAAGACTCAATATTGGTAAGATATCAATTCTTCCTAAAATGACCTATAGATTCAATGCAATCTCAATTAAAATTCCAGTAGGCTTTTGTTTTTGAAAAATTGATATGTTGATTTTAAATTTATGTGAAACTACAAAGGACCTAGAATAAGCAAAGCAACTTTGAAAAACAGGAACAGCATTGAAGGATTAATGCTATTTTATTTCAATTTATAAAGCTACAGTAATCAAAACAGTGTGGCAATGGTGTAAAGACAGGTCAACAGAACAGAATGAAGAGTCCAGAAAGACTCTCACACACATATGTACAACCAACTTTCAACAAAATTACAAAGGCAATTCAGTGAAGAAAGAATAATTTTTACAACAAAATATGCTGTAATAGATAACCACATTAAAAAACATAAATTTTGATCCACATTCTGCACAATATACCAAAGTTAATTTAAATGGATCATAGACCTAAAGAAGAAACCACAAGTACAAAACTTCTAGATGAAAACACAGGAAAAATCTTTGTGATCTTGGTTTACGCAAAGATTTCTTGGATATGCCTCCAAAAGTACGACTCATTTTAAAAAATTGATCATTTTAATTTTATAAAACTTAAAACTTCTGATTTTTGAGTATGTTCTTAAGAGAATGAAAAGACAGGCCACAGACCGGGAGAAAACATTTGAAATCATATCAGATATCATACATCTGATGAAGGATGTGAATCAAGACTCTATAAAGAAGTCTCAAGCTCAATAGTAAGAAAGTAAACAACCCAATTTCAAAAATGCACAAAAGATTGAATAGATGATAAAGCCCAAAACATTTTAAAAGAGGGTCATTATCACAGTCAGTGTCAAGAAGGAGCACACCCACACTCAGCCCTTTAGTACCATCGTCTACAACAGCTGAAGCAGGAAACCACAAGTAGCTCTGACTTTGGGAGAGTTTCCACCCAAGCCCTTGATTCCTAAATGCCCTCAGTCCTCCCAAAGAAGA